CTGGGTGCCGGCGTGGGTGTCAGCTCGCCCGAGGGACTGCCTCTGCTGTGCTGAGGGGGGCTGGGTGGGAGAGAGTTAGCAAAGCTACAGTGATGAGTCTTCTGTTCAGCTCCGGAGTAGCTGGGCACCCGAACAAGTAGCAGGCGTTTGCTGTGGTGGATTGATACCTAGTACAAAATGCTTGAGTTTGTTTTAAAAAGGCACTTTGTTGCTCATTTTTTGCTTAAAAGATACCTAAGATAGCTGTGATTAGTTCTGGGCATGTAGATTAGTAGTAGTTTTTATGGTGTTGATTGTTAAGCAATGATTTCTAAATGCTGGTGGTCTTTGCACCATGGAGGAGCTTAAAAAGTAGAGTGCTGGGGCTTGGTATGAACCTTCTTGGCTGTGTGTTGTAAGACTCGCTTTCTTTGTTCTTTTTCAGATTGAAAGATGATGATAGTGGAGACCATGACCAGAACGAGGAAAATAACACACAGAAAGACGGTGAGAAGGAAAAGAACGACAGAGAGAAGCCACAGACTACTACCAAGAGGAAGGTACGGCGCTGGTGTCCGCATTCCACTGCTAAGGCATGATGTGGGAGAGCTAGAGAGTCAGTCCTTGGTTCAGGGATAAGCAAATATGTATTGGTGGGCTGTGGTTGTTTAATGCACTGTCACTGTTGTGATGAAGATGGAGGGGCTGCGTTAGTATTTGGTTAATTTGTTATGGCTTTTGGTGGTATGTAGTCTGAGGAGTGAATATTCCCTTCAGTGCAGCTAATACTCTGCCTGGCTTTTGTATAGAAATGAGAAATACAGCTTTATCTTCCCAAAATTTTTTTTGGCTGGAAGAACATGCGAGGGAAGAACTGATTGATGGGAAGCAGTGGCTTGCAGTTGCTTTACCAATTGAAATAGCTGATTTACCACTGTTTGGATTAAAATGAGTCACTGTATGTGTAGCATAGCCTAGTTAAGAAGGCATGTATCTGTTCTGTTTTAATGTTTCTTTTTTAATCTTGTGCTTAAGAAAACTGTTCTGTCTGAAGTAATGCAATCCTTATAAACTTACCATAGACAAGAAAGCAGAGATTTAGGCCCTAGTAACTCCTGTAAGAATGTCTGGTGATACAAGATAAGGGCTTTCTGGTTTGATTTTTTTTTCCCTTCTCAATTTTGACTCTTGGGCAGTGAGTTCTCGTTAGCTTCTTTCATACTCATTAGAGGCTTTTTAATCAGAAATGAGTATTTTGGAAATGGAAAAAGGATCACTGCCCACTGCTAGCCATGAGTCCTGCCAAACCTGACATAATGAGTTCTAAGACTAATCCTCCCAGAGTAGTTAGGGTGTTGGTTGCTTAAGGGAGTTGGTGTCACCAGGGAGTTGTAATTGCTTTTGAATCATGATTTAATATAAATGAGTTTTGTTCTTCCCAGAGGAGAGTGTCTTATTTTTTTTTCCTTAATTTGAAAAAGTTAAAAGCTAAAATACTCACATTGTCCTTTTTAGTTTGCCTTTTTTTCCTTTAAGACAGACGCAGTTAAGGATTAAAGGAAAATTTAGTGATACAGTCTCTAATACTTACAAGGCTTGCTTTTTTGTGGCGCTCTCCTGAGCTTGTAGTTATTTCCGCAGCCATCCCTGCACTGTTTCTAATATTCTTTGAAACAGTCACCTGCTCTTAGCCTAACGGTCCATTTCAAATAATTAATTTTCTGTAAAAATGAGGATTAGTTGGTTGTTTTATAGTCCATCAGGGCAGAAACACATGGACTTCTGCCGCTGTGGATGTAATTTTTTCCCCACCCCCCTTCTAGAGAAGCATGTAAGGAGTAAACAAGCTTTTCTCTTCTGCAGGCTGTTGTCCCAGGGCCAGCCGAGCACCCCTTGCAGTATAATTACACCTTCTGGTACTCCAGACGAACACCCGGGAGGCCTACCAGCTCGCAGAGTTACGAGCAGAACATCAAACAGATCGGCACCTTTGCCTCCGTGAGTATGACCCTCCCGTCCTCGTGTCGCACAGCGTGGTCATCGTGCCTGGCTCCCTCCCTGTGTGCACAGGCTGTGCTCTCGACAGCAGGAACACAGGAGAGCGGGTGCTTTGCTGTGACGTATAGATGAGTTCTTGAATTACCTGCAGCAGGTGACGTGTCTCGAGCAGTTCTCCCCTGCCCTGTGCTGACATCTGTGCCTGCGGCGATGGTGGTAGCTGGAGTGATAATAGAAAATTAAAAGAACCCTCCCATGTACCTTAAATCTGCTAGCTGCAGCAGAACTTGATGGGCAAGCAAGAGAAGAAAGGAACAGCTTTTCTGGATGCAGCGTAGGTGTGAAGCAAAGTCTATACGGTCCCACACGCCCCCTTTCCTCCTGCCTGCGTTTCCACCACGAAGACTGTGTTTGGAACGAGCATCTGGTGTCCTGTGTGTACGAGCAGCTGGTGGGCTGTTGTTGGTCTGGAAGTGATGACTGAGATGCAGTTCGATGTTACAGTGAAGTTCATTAAGAGGGAAACTGCTCTCCCTTCCTCTCTTAATTGTTTATTCCTGGAATAAAATTAGTGTATCCTGGAAAGGCAGTGTTGGGTTGTTGCGTGGTGCTGGCAGTGTGAAACCATCATCAGAATCCCAAGATACAGAAGCAAAAGGCTGGGAATGCTGTTGGCTGCTTTCTTTTTTGTATTTTTATTGGTTTTGTTATATCTAGTATTTGTCCAGATTTTCTGGGGTCCCTTCCAAATGTTAGTTTTGCCTGCCAGTTGATCTCTGCCCTCTGTAATGTAAGATATTTTTTTTTAAAAAAATCCCTTTATCCCTTCTGGAGGCTGCAAAAATATACCTGTCCAGGCAGCTGGGTTGTGTTACTGCATTTGCACGGGATAGGAGTAGGAAGAATTGCTCTAAGCCTTTCGTTGTGGGTAGTTCCTGCTGCTGCTCCCCTGTGTGAGCAGGTACTTTTAGTACTTTTTACATTCCGTGAATGAAAAATGTGGCTTACTCTTGGTGATCTGACAACAACTTCTCAGTCGGTTAAATCGATGCAGGTTTAATGTTGACTTTTAGCTCCTTAGAGGAAAACTTCACACGCTCTGTTTGCTCTTTGTTGTAAAGAGTTTGCGGGTGCTGCTGGATATTGAAAGTGCTTGAATTCAGTCAGGGTGGAGAAATACTGGCTAGCAGATCTGGTTATGTGTTTGGTTCCAAATTCTGTTTAAGAAGCGGGAAGAGCAAGCTTCCAAAAGGATTGTCTGAGCCTAAACCTGGCAAGTTTGTAATTTGCTTCTCAATAAAAAGCTCTAAAAGCTTTTAAAAGCTAACCACTAGAGGGCATATTCGCTCGGTGTGAGAACATAATTGCCGGGCTGCGTTTGGATGGGTCTGACAAAAACAGATTGCTTCTGACCCAGCCTCAGTCTTGGTTCATAATTTTATTGGCTATAAAAGCAAAATCCTGCCTGGATGGCAGAGGTCAGAGATTGGAGCAGAATCCCAAGTGATGACCACTGGTAAATCATTTGGGATGGTGTCTGAATGCTTCAGCTTTGCTGCTGGTTTGCTTAATAGCTTTTGTCTTCCTGAGTAGCGCCCTCTTAAAACATGGAAATTAGCATAATCTCTTCCAGTGCCTCGTGTTTTTTTTAAAGATCAAGCCGCTCTAAAATCCTTTGGTATCCAGGGAATCTCAAAGGATAAATTTGTTATTGAAGAATTAGAAAAGGTAATTCCCTTGCCTTCCGGCCAGATTGTCTGAAGTAGACACAGAGGTGCCACAGTGGAAACTGGGCAAAGTGAAATGGTGCGAGCGTGCCATGGCAGATTGTAAAAGGAAATAAGAGGTATTCAAATAAAAGCTCTGAGTGGTGCCTTAAGATGTTAAACCAGCACCAGAATGTGTCTTTTGTCTTAAAACCTGGATGTAGTAAAATGAATTATTAAAAATGTCTAATTTGAAGCCTCCTGTAGTCTCCACAATTGCAGAGAGCGGTGGTTAGTGCAGGGCTTTTGGGGATGGTGTGGAGAGGCCAGGCCTTAGCTGATGCACTAGACACGCAGCCACTGACGGAAAGTTGGGGCAGTAGGATGTATGAGGTAGATTTGAAGCTGTTCTCCAGAATAGCAATTATCTTAGCAAGGGATTCTTCAAACACCAAGACACATGCTGAATTTTTCACATGGTCATTTAGTAATGGAGCCAGTCAGAAACGGGCACTGATGCTCTGATGCTACTGCTGCTTCTGGGTATCGAAACAACACCTTTGTGACAAGAAAGCAGAACATAAGAGGAGAAGGTGGCTCTAACCAGCTGGTGTAGAAAGGGAATCCAGTTTCTGTAGGAAACTTGGCTGTGAACAGCTGGAGCAGCCTCATTGTGCGGTTCATGTCATTGCAGGTGGAACAGTTCTGGCGGTTTTACAGTCACATGGTACGTCCTGGGGACCTGACAGGCCATAGTGACTTCCACCTGTTCAAAGAGGGAATCAAACCCATGTGGGAGGTGAGTTGGAGCTCTCATTTCTGCCTTAAGATTTTCCCAGGGTATTCTGGAGGGAACCTTTAGAAGGGACTCATGTCACTAAACGGCACTCCAGGCTTCTCTGGGCTGCAGCCCTATCTTCTAGTTTCCTGTAAGCTTTTCCTCAGCCTGTAGCCCAGCAAAGGGGAGATCCCAGCTAAGCTCTGTCCCTCCTCATATAGGCACTTGCCCCTTACTATACCTTTGTGCAATGACAGCAGCATGAGGCTCTCCTCTAGGCGAGCTGGACCTCTGTAAGTGGGATTCAGCAAAGCTTGTAAGAAGCCAGCCCTCCTTTTTCAGGCAAGGAAGAGGTGCGTATGATTAAAAACCTGTGGCTGTAGGTAGAGCTGGGGGTGGAAAGAAGACATAGCCCTTTGTTTACGTTTTTTGCTCCAGGGCACTTAATTTGCTTCCGTTCATTCCTATCCAAATGGTTAAGAAAAAATAAAAAAAGCAAAAGCACAAAACCCCACAACATTTTGCTCAGCAAATCACTCTTCCAGTTCATGGCCTGTTTCCAGCAATGACCAATACCATTCGCAATATGAGAATTTTATGTGTTGCTCTGAAGTACCTAATTATGCTGCTCGATCCTGAGAAATTTATATGTGACCCTAGTTGGCAGTTATTTTAAGCAAGGTGGTTTATAGCCAGTTACTGCAAATACAATTTATATAAAACGTTTAACCCTTTTCGGACTCCTCGTGAGCTAGCTGCTCTGATAATGCCTCGACCAGAGAGTCCACAAGTAAATGATACCAGAATTTCTGTAAAGCATTTCCCAGTAACCATTTTAAGATGGAGGTGGAGAGACTGTTTGCTTGGGGTTTTTTTCACTTCTAGCCCCGCTCCCTTCTCGTATTTATAGAAGAGGACCTGGGATGTTGCTGTTGGCCTTCCCTTTGCTTCTTGCTTTGTAGGGCTTTTTTTATGCTCCTTTCTCTTCCAAATTAACCTTTACTTACTGTTGTTCTCATAGGCAAGTATAGGCATGTATGTAGCTCTGATCTTTTTTTGGATCTGTCTGTGCCTTGTCTGGAAAAAGTCAGAAGCATTAAGCGTAATGTTCCCTGGTGATTTACTGGGCTGCGGATCATTATTATTCTGGTAAAGGCAAATCAAATGCTTGACTGAACCGAAGCTTGTTTAACCTGAAACAAAACTAACAATAACCGTAAAACACACAGTACAGCATCTGCCTCCCAATCGCTGTTCTCTCCCTAGCCTCAGACCTGCTTAAACCACCTTTGAAATAATTTGAGCAATACTGTTTTCTCTTCTGACTCCCTTTAGTCGCTGTGGAAAGGTTGAGGAGTTAAACCCAACTCCCTGCTTCAAGGCTGAAGCCTAGGCAGCCTGATTCTTAGAGTGCGGTGTTCACAGCTTGGACAACAACGACATTAATCAGAAAGTAGTTCACATCTCGTGGGAGCATGCCACGTTCCTAGAGCTTGTGTTGATATGGATTCTTCCCCATATGTGTGGCTGCTGTCATGCTTTGAGGTTTGTCTGCAGCTGACACGTCCCCCTTTCAGCGCAGGGTTTAGCACAGACCCAAAAGCCAGGAGTGCGGTGAGCGCTGCTGTTGTGCTGGTGCCTCTGTGTTTGCCCAGGATTGCTTTGTTAGCACTTGCTGCTTCTGAGAGCTCATCAATGTTTAGTTTTATCTGAGTGCTAGAGAAGCTCTAAGGCTGAAATGCCATTAACTGTTTCATCAGGAGGGGTTGGGCTGCCTTGCCTGGCATCTTTAAAGTGTGCCCCAGCTTGGCAGAGGGGATCGCTGGTGGTTTGTCTTGCACTGTGCCATCCCATCCCCTCTGAGTTGCCCTTCGTTCTTCTCTGTTTCTATCCTAGACCTGTCTTCCCTTTCCCTTCCTGCCTGCCACCTTTTTGACTTGTTCCTCCCTTTCTCTCTTTGGCTTTCGATGGAATTTGTTCGCTTCTCACTGTGTCAGATTTCCCAGCTGTGGTGTTGTACAAGAGAACACCACAGCGTTCTGCACAGAGGAGGAGCCGCTGTTTGGCATAGGTGTGTGTTCTGTGAAACGGGAGTCTGTGGCGGTTTTTATCTCTTTTTCAGGTGCAACAATATTGAGGTGATGGACTGGGTGCTTAGCATAAATTTCTTCTTTACTCTCTCCACTCATTTTTGGTTATTTCCCTGGATCACTGCAGTCTAGAACATTCAGCTGTGTGATGTGCAATAATGTCGAGTGATTCCCAGAGAACAGACTTGTCCTTTCTGTGTTAACACAACTTGGGAACTCATTCCTGGAAATGTGGAAGGGCAGTGTTTATCAACCTTTCAGCTGCTTTTAAATATCACTTCGCAAACTTTTTCCCTGCCTTCCCTGTTCTGTGATGAGGGATGTTTCGTGTTTTGCAAGCAGAACTAAATATACGGAGGATGAGACAAAGACAGAATCGGTCTTGAGTTTGGGAGGAATTTTAGGGTCTTTGCCTCTGGTTCTGTGTGCAGATTGATAGACTGATGTTAGTCTTTGCTAGTGGGATCAGAGCACTAGAGCTGAAGTCTTCAGAGCTTCATCTGGAGAGTCGTTGTTTCGAATACTTTGTATTCAAAGTAAGTGGTACACCTGTCTCTGCCTCTATGGGAGAGAAGCAAAATGCCTTTGCCTGAAAATCCCTCCATTCTGTCCCTTGCCCCACCCAATCAATACCTGCTTCGGTCTGTGGCTCTGCTGTCTTGTGGGAAGCAGAAAAGTAGAAGAAAACAAATCGATTTCTTGCCCCTCTTCCTAGGACGATGCCAACAAAAATGGTGGTAAATGGATTATCCGCCTGCGGAAGGGCTTAGCGTCACGGTGCTGGGAGAATCTCATCCTGGCGATGTTGGGAGAACAGTTTATGGTGGGGGAAGAGATCTGTGGGGCAGTCGTCTCTGTCCGATTCCAGGTAAGTGCTTCTGAGAGCTGGCCTGTCCTTCCGTGTGGCGGGGCGACAAAAAACTACCGTCTGCTTACCCCTGCCGTGCTGTTCCGTAGGAGGATATCATCTCCATATGGAACAAGACGGCCAGCGACCAGGCCACGACGGCCCGGATACGCGACACGTTACGAAGAGTGCTCAACCTACCTCCCAACACCATCATGGAGTACAAAACACACACCGATAGCATCAAGTACGTGGGGCGGCAGGGGCCGGGCCCGCTGCTGGTTGCATGTCGCGCTTGAGCAGTTTCACGCCGGTCGCAGGAGTCGACAGAAGCGCTCGTGGGCGTGGGGGGCTGCTCGCTGTAGTACAAACAGCAGCGTTCGTTGCCGCGCAGTCTGAAAGCCAAATATCTGTGTCATTATCGCGCTGTTGTTGGGGACATTTAGCTCTGACATTAAATTAGTTTTGGGTTTGGGTTTTTTTCAGCTGTATAGTCCAGGGCTTTCTTAGCAATCCACTCAGCCTGTCACTTGGGAGTTGGGCAGCCCAGTGTGGGACCGTGGCTTGATGTATTCAAAGACAAGATTGCAGTGGCGTGGCGGGGGGATACGAGATCATTTGAATAAATAGAGATTCTGGGGAATAAAGTGCGGAAGCTAACGGGGATTTATAGTGCCATTAGACTTATAAATGGTCTTGGGAAAGTGCTGTGTGAATTTACAGTGCTGTACAAATGATTTCTAATCATAATAAACGTCGTATATTAAGTCTTCCAGGCCCTGGTGACAGAGGCTCTTTAACAAGACTAGAAGATCATGGTACACAGAGAGGAAGGCTGTATTTTTAAATTAACCTATTATAGCTTACTATACTGGGCAGTTCAGGGTGACTTTTATTCCCCCCAAAATTGCGTATATAAGTATTAGTTAGAGGTGAATACTGTAAATTTTTTTTTTCTTAAGCATATTGTAAACCAATACGCTGATTAGGTCATATTGATTAAATTAATACTTGAAAAGGTGTACCCAGAAAGAGAAGTGAAACAAATTAACAAGACATTGATAGAGCAGTGAGCTTTCTAGTGTAGCTCATAAACAGGGTGGAAGTACCTTTTGCGACTTCCTTTCATTGTCTTGGCACATCCTTTCCACATAATCACCCTGTTGCCAGTGCGCTGTCAGACAGTTTGTTGAGATCAGCAGCCAGCTAACTTCCAGTTGTGGCCAATTTTGAGTGGAAGTCACTGGCAATAATACAGAGGTTGCATTTTAACTGCCGGTAGGCATCTGGCGTTCCATATGGCACTCCCTCCTTTTCCTAAAAAAACGAGGGATGGAGAAATTATTGTTAAACTGAATCTTTCCCAGGCAACTTTGGTTTCGGAAAGGTTCCACTTCTCTTGAAATCTCACCTTCCTGATCTTGCCAGTAACGTTTCTCCTGGGTTTTTTGCCAGAAGAGGGCACTATGGACTCTCCGTCCACGTTAGGAGCCCTGGACACAGAAGCGGGTGTTTTACTCCCGTTCAGCAGCAGCAGACTGAGGGCTGTGGTGATGCGAGAGGAGGGAGGTGTTTGACTTCTCTCCGTCTCTGTAGGGCAGGCTGTGCGCAGAGCCTGCGGTCCTAACCTGCGGCCGTGGTTCGTGTAGCAGGTTTGGGATGGGAATGGTGTGGCCTTTCGCTTGGAAGCTCTCTCCACCGGCACATTCCCAGCACAGAGAGCGCTGCTACGGCGATGTTTGTAACCATCCTTGCCCTGGCAGGCGTCAGTGCTTGCGCCGTGGTGCATCCAACGCTGCGGTCTCATTTCACTACGGCAGCATCGTGGGCCGTGCCCGCTGCCCTCTCTTCCTGCGTGGTGTCAAAGTTTCTTTTTGTGCAAAGGGAGCTTGTCCAGGAATAGCAGGTGTTTGAGGAATTGAGTTTAGTAGCTCAGGTTACAGCTGGGAGCAATTCTTAAATAGGGGTGGACTGGGTCATCTCCCACTTACTCTGTGGGCAGGAGGGACAGTCAGGAGTTGGTTTGATGGTGTCCCAGTGAGGTGTATCTAAGCAATTAACCTTCTGCCGTGTAGGGTATCACGACATTTTCCACTGAGCTCCTGCAGCCTGCCTGCAGTGCCATCCAGCATCTCCTTCTAACGGCGCTGGTGTAAATTCAGAGCAAACCTGCTTGTCAGTGGAGTTTGTGGAGTAATGTGTGGACCGACTTCTCATGCCTTTCTTGACTGGTACAAGCAGGCAGCAAACAGCAGCAGCTGTGGAGAGGTGACGGCGCCTGCTTCGTTGACAGAGAAGCGCAGGACAGCCCCGGCTTTCAGTCTGACTCCAGTTGGCTGTGCTTCATCTCATTACGGTTCTCTCACTAATGAAGAATCTCTTGTGTAACTGGTTCTATCCTCCATAAAGTCTGGCTCCTTTTCCTCGCCCATTTATCAAGCCCTGTTGAAATACTGTCCGTCACGAATAAACTCCACTTATGCTGCGCATGTACCATGTGATTTATGACTCGGGAGGGCTTTCTAGCCAGCGCTCTCTATTCACACTCTGGTTGTGTTTTATGAAAGGCTCTAATGGAAGAGCCGTGCTGGAGGCTTTGCGAGGGCTGCCTTTTGAGGGGGGCTCGTGGCATTTTTCATTTGTATGGGCTGCATCTCTCCACTAGAGCTCTGCTCATGTGCAGGGCTTGATTGGCATTGATTGTGCTTCAGGGAAGGGAGCACGCTTAGCAAGAAAAGAACAGGCGTTTCTCAAAACCTTGACTTTTAAGTAGTGAATTGACCTGGATTAGCTTTTGACACACTGTAAATGAACGCTTCTGCAGAAATTGCTAGCGTGCCCCTCACTATGCAACTTGAGCCCTTTGTTTTGGATTTGATACATTCCTTTTGGGATGATGCATTTCATATTAACTCATTTTTAGACACCATTTTTCATGAGTTGTCAGTGAGGCTGCAGCCCCCTTTGTTTCAGAAAGCAGTGGCGCTGCGAAGTGGCATTTGAAAAGTATCTGTTGCTTCACAGCTATTCCGGGGAGCTGTTTTGCATTCTGTCCTTCCTGCTCTCAGTGGTGAGGCTTGTGCATTTAACTAGATAAGCAGATCTTTCATTGCAATTTTCCTGTGTTTGTCCTTTCTCTTGCTTGTGATATTGACAAGCTGCCTAAATCCCAGCGAGTGGAAGGGTCAGCCTAGTCTCTATTAATTTTCAGACTTGCTGGAAGAGCTAGAAGAAATCTCTTGGGCTCTGCTGAATTCCAGGGGATTGATAGGACCTTAGCCGAGCACCTCAAAAGAACACACATGGTGTCTTGTGGGCTACCTTGTTTCAGTAGCTGGAGAGAAATTAATCTCTTCTCTTTGTTCCCTCAGAGATGGACTGGGAGAGGCGAGATTGGATGTAGCAAACCACTTAATAGGTTCTGTTCATCAGTGTCATTAACCTTGGAGGTGATGTGATCCAGCAGTGACAGGGGGTTATGAGCACTGGCACTCCCTGTGTTTTGGAATTAAGAAAAAATAAGTGACCTCTTACTTTTGCTGGCCTTAGGACGTGCACTTTGCTTTTTTTGTAAGCTGAATATTGCCAGCCTAAGCCCTGTCACGTCTCAGTGAAGCCACTGAGAATACTTGGGTATCTGTAGTGAGTGAGCTGCATTTGGGAGAGATGTGAAGGAGAAGTGATCACTGTAAAGTCTGATTTTCTTTTCTTTTCTTTTCTTTTTTTTTCCTGAGTATTGCAGTGTGAAGTGCTTGGCTGTCTTGCATACACCTTTGCCCTGCCTGGGGTTATCAGCCTTTCTTTTCCACGCTGATGCCTGCCCGGTCAGTGACCATCTCCTGTGTTGAGAGCTCGCACGTGTGGTGCCATCCAGGAATCCTAGGCAAATTCAGCAGCGTTCCTTCACATGCCAGGAGAGACCAGCCCTGTGGCTGTACAGCAGGCTGCTGCTGTGCCAGCTGGGCTGGAAATCCTTGGGTTGCTGTGTGACTTTATGGATCGTCCTGTCAGCTCCAGAGCAAGGTTGCTTTTTCTGAAAACAAAGCTTCAGTTATTTGTAAGTGCCTGCTGCAGTGAGAGCTGAGCAGGGTATAAAACTATCCTTTCATTTCAAAGTCACCACTGATAACTAATGGAACGGCTCGAGTAAATGAGAAGAATAGTTGATCTTAATAGGGCTGGCACTGGGTTCATTTCACCACAGGCAGTTGGAGGAAATGGCCTCGGACTGTATCTTAGCTGGGAAACAAGCAGATACACTGTGGAGAGAGTAAGGGTATGCCCTGTAAGAAGACTGCAGAGTCAGGGTTTTTGAGACAAAAAAGTGAGGAATGACCAAAAAAAAGAAACTGAGGCATGAGGAAGAGAAATCCCATGGAAGTGGGAGGTCTTGGGCAAGAAGATCAGTGTTTGTGAGACAGTAAGCTGGCAGTGGGATGCTTGTTACATCAGAGTTCAGCTGATTCTGTAACTCTTATGGTTTTATAGCACTGGTTTCCATTTGCTTGCAGATTTCCAGGTCCTCAGGAAAACTTCTCAGTGCGGCTGTCCTAATTGTGTTGTCCTTAAATGGTGTGGACAGGGTTAACCTTGTCTAAAGTTTGAGGGTTTGCAAATGGGACCTGTACACGCTGGTGGGACGCAGGTTGCCTTGGGTCTTGACAGCTTTAGAGAGCTGCATTGTTTCACCCTCATTCCTTCAAATGTGAGAGCAGGAATAAAGGCTGGAGGACAGTGGTAAGGTTCCAGATCTGATAGCCATCCTCTTCTCCAGAGTCTCTGCAATATTGACTTAATTCATTTATCACTCTATTCTCCAGTTCCAGTAATATTTTCAGGTGCTGCAAGTCTAAAGGCACTTCCCGGGCTTTGGAGTGATGGATTCGTTGATTCGTTCTCTGTCACTGTAGTATGCTTTATTCAGAAAGTCTCTGTGACTTTGTAAAAGGTTTCCTTACCTTGGTGGCCTGTCTCTTACCAAAGAAGTGACTATAACCTATTTATTTCGTATTTCTTTCCAAGGAGGTCCGTTCAGGTGTCCTCATTTCAAGGTCACAATGGCTTCCCTCTTTGCCTTTGCTACAGACGCTGCCAGATACATGAAAGAATTATTTCAAGCTAGAAGAATTTCCTAAATTTTTTAAAGCTATTAGTTTTCAGGCCTGACACAAAGCTCTTGACTGGCTTTGAGCAAATCCCAAGCACTCTGATATAACATGGGGAGCGCCCAGGGAGAGGCTGTGCCGC